CATGCGTGGTGACAGCGCCAGCTTCTTATCGAAGTTACCCACGCTGTAGGCTTCCAGTAGTTTCCTGATCTTATCAAATCGGTTGTCCATCGCTGCCGGTTTTTCTGAATTGTTGAAGCCATTTCATTGCTGCGTGGCCCGTGGTGAAACTTCTCGCTGGAATTTTTGGCTTCGCGACTGATAAATAAAAATTTCCCAGAAACGAACTGAATGGTGAATCGAGGATCACGGCACCTGCCAGCAAACCCTGGCTGCCTTCATTTGACAGGTAATCTCGTGCTTCCTTCGTCATACTTACTACACCCTGGTTATACACCAGTGCGACGACCGGTTGATGGTTGGCCAGTTCCAATCTTTTTTGTAAAATTTCTTTAGCTATATCAAGCGTAATTTTCAACCCCTTTTTATAGGTGCCGATCAGGAGATCGCCCTGCAGTTCTAACCGCACATAAGGAGTGTCGAGGATCTTGTTCATGATGCCAGATAAGGTTTACTCAGTATAAAGACGTACAAGAAAATACCAGTGCCATTTTCTAAAACCCGTCTTTTAGCTGTTTTCTATTTCAGGGATAAAGATAAAGTTTGTATCAGTTTACAGCAAACCCCTTTCTCTATGCGTTCAGTGAATACGATCATCGAAACGACTGACCAGATAATCTCCGACGGGGTTAGAAGAGGAATTCTTCATTTATATACGGATGACAATAAGCTCACTGGAAACCAGATCACCTTAAAGGGAAAAAATGTTACCAATTTTGGCTCCTGCAGCTACCTGGGGCTGGAGTTTGACCACCGCCTGGTAGAAAGTTCCAAAGCGGCAATCGACAACTATGGTACCCAGTTTTCCGAGTCAAGGGCCTATGTATCGGTGAAGTTATACGCGGAGCTTGAAGATTTGTTCAACAAAATATTCGAAGCATCCTGTGTGATCACGCCGACGACAACGCTGGGTCATATTGCTAATATTCCGGTATTGATGTCTACAGCTGATGCCATCATCACTGATCAGTTGGTACATAACTCTGTGAATACGGCCGTAAAATTACTGGCGGGAGCGGGTACACATATAGAAGTCATCCGGCACAATCGTATGGATCTGCTGGAAGAAAGAATAAAAGCATTGCGGAACAAGCATCGGAAGGTTTGGTACCTCGCTGATGGCATTTATTCAATGTTTGGTGATACAGCCCCGATGAATGACCTGTATCAATTACTCGATCAATATCCCTGTTTTCATTTATATATAGATGATGCTCATGGTATGAGCATTCACGGCAAGAACGGCAGAGGGTTCGCTCTTGACAAGCGCATGTTTCATCCCAAAATGGTAATGGCTACTTCACTGGCAAAGGCATTTGCTACAGGTGGTGCTGTCATGGTTTATCCGGACAAAGAACTGGCCAGGAAGGTGAGAACCTGCGGAGGTCCCTTGATCACATCGGGCCCTCTTCAGCCGGCCCAATTGGGCGCGGCTGTCGCCGCTGCCCGCATACATCTCAGTGATGAGATATACACGATGCAGGAAGAATTGAAAGACCGCATTCTTTTTACCAACATGATGTTACGTAAATATCAACTGCCCGTAATCGCTGAAAATAATGAAGCCGTATTTTTTGTAGGCGTACACCTCCCCAAAGTCGGTTACAATATGGTTCGCCGTATGCTCGATGCCGGTTATTACGTTAATCTTGGCATATTTCCGGCCGTCCCTATGAAAAACACCGGCATCCGGTTTACCATTACCAGGCTCCATACATTTCGTCAGATCGAAGAAATGATCGCAACGATGGCATTGCAACTGGAACTGGCTTTGAAGGAAGAAGGTGTCACCTACGCTGATATTTACAAAGCCTTTAAAATCCCGGAGCCGGAACA